AGATCTGTGAACTACTATCAGCCACAAGTAGAGGTCCTCGTGGGTCGATCTCACTTTATTTTGGAAAGAAAATCCAATCAAGATTTCAAAATGGAAGGTCCAGGTGGAAGCAAACCTAGATGACCATAACTACATCCAATATGACATCAATAATGTAGACTTACCGAGCAAAACCAACAACAAAACGAAACTAATTCATATAGATTGGATAACATTCAGGCAAAAACTCGCAGGACAATATTCTGCAGTTTCACTACTACATACCGTCACAGAAATAAATAAGTACATAGAGATCACCATGAAACTCATCCATGAAAATTATAAGCACACTAAAAAAGTCTTTAATTCAAATAAGAACAACGAACATTATAGAAGCAACCCATGGTGGAATCAGGAACTCACAATTACGAGATAAACGGTATCAGCCCTATGTGGCACCTCAGGAGACATATACAACAAAAACAGAGTCATCTACAAAAAGGAACAAGCTATTTATAGACATAAGATCTTAGAAGCCAAAAGAGTCTTTTGGGATACATTCTGGGAAGATCTTCAGATCTGTTCCCCGTTTGGGTCCTACTATGATATCATTAAGGGCAAAAGCCTAAGACCCCTACAACTAAGCTCAAACCAGATGGGGACAACCACAACTTCAGATGAAGACACTATTAGAGAAATTCTTAAATATCATTTTCCCAATGTTACTCAAGACAAAGACACCCAATGTCACAGGGAGATAAGGAAATCAGCAAGCAGCCCTCCAAACACTCCAAACGATCCTCCCTTCACTACCACAGAAATTCGAAAGATGATGGAAACTACCCGAAGGGCAAATCCCCAGTCTTAGATAAACTCAATATAGACTTCACCAAAGAGTTGAGAATCGCAAACTAATACCAACTAACATATCTCTAATGCATGCCTTCAAAAAGGCTACTTTCCCGATGCCTGGAAGAATGCCGGGCTTGTTCTTTTCAAGAAAGAGGGCAAAGATATCCAAACGCATGTAGATATCCAAATGCATAAGTATCCAAACACATGTAGATCTATCTGTCTCCTCTCACCCTGGGGAAAAGCCCTAGACAAACTAATAACCAACCATCTCAGTTTTCACCCGGAGAAAAACCACCTCATGAACAAAGTGCAATACAGCTTCATAAAGGGAAAGAGCACCATCGTCGCTCTTTACAATGTACAAGAGCAATACACCATAACAAGCAGCGAGGTCTCCACACGTGTTTTATCTTCTGAGATGAGGTCTTGGCCTTCAGCAAACTCTGGTAGCCAGCCCTCAAGGACCAACTCAAACATCTTCAGTGCCCTAAGAATCTCTTTCGGATCATAGTCAATCTTCACAATTGTAGTCATATATCAGCAAAAAGAGGTTAGTGTCACCCATGACTACGACAGAGGCGACCCCCCCTCCAAGGGTCCAGCATTGGCCCAAAGTTGTGAAATCTCATTTCGAATCCTGCACTAGATCTAGATTTCGTAGGAAACCCACAAATCTGTACCGATTACTTTATCCTAATCATTCAAGAAGTTAATTGTACCAAAATAGAAGACAAAGCAAAAAAAGGCATTAGATCATATCACTGAATGGAGCCTCAAACTCGAGCTGAAATTCAGCATTGATAAGACAAAAATGATCACCTTTCCAAAGGGTAATAAACTTATAAATAGCCCACCCCGTATAAAATGGCAGGGCTGAGCACTGAAAAAGGAAGATACTTTAAAATACCTAGGATTCTTACTTGATAAAAAGCTCACCTGGGTGCCGCACTTAACGGTGATATGAGATAAAACCTGCAATCTTATTAATAGCTTAAACTGCATCGTCACAAATAAATAGAACTTAAAAGGGAAACTTTTGAAAGAACTCTATGTGTGAGGCATTAAAAGGATGATCCTTTATGGCTCCCCTCATCTGGATGACTGGCACGGTAAGGGTTTGTTAGAAGCTACTCCAAATTCAACGCATCACCCTTCTCAAAATCGCTAAATGTTTCACTACCACATCCACAGCAGTTCTTCAAATCCTAGCAGGGATTCTCCCCCCAGATCTCAAAGCAAAAATTGAATGTGGCACTTACAGGTTAGTTCATTTTAAAGTCTCCTTCTAGCTCAATCACTCCTCATTCATAGATAGCGCTCCTTAGCACCACAATGCCACTATACTTCCGTCCAACCAGCTCTCACGAAACATCTAAAATGGCTTAAACATCTACCAAAAGGAGAGGACGTAGAAATCTTTTCTGATGGCTCTAAAGTTTCAGAGCAATTAGGTGCTGCCTATGCCGCTTTCCACAACAATACAGAAATTCACTCAGCACGGTTCAGACTTAGCGACCACACCTCGGTTTTCCAAGCTGAGTCCTTCGCTTTAAAGAAGGTAGCTCTCTGGGCAGGCAACATCAATTTTCCATCCATCAGTTTCTATGAATGTCATACAGGCCCTGAGCAAGAATGGCATTCAAGCCTTCCATATCTCCTCATTAACCCATTAGCCGCTGGTGTTGCGTTCACGCAACAGTCAAAATAAATGTCTATTTAAATATAACTAATATTTTATACCAGCAGATGATTTTGTGTAGGGAATATTATGAAGATTATTTCTGTAAAAAAAATTTGCCTTCAACAATCATTTTGTTTATAATAATCAATCTCATACTTTAAGCAAAATTTTCGACCGAGTATTTTCGCTCAAAATAGTTAACGAAAGAATCGCGGTCTTTATGAGTGATCTATTTTTAGTCAAGGTCACCATTTGTCAGAACATTACATCCGTCAGATGTTTATATTTGTGTTGGGAAGGAAGGGAAAATAGGTGTTGCTCTGATGCAATGTTTCTTGTAATGACAAAGTTTCTTGTAATGTCAAGTGGACAAAAAGGACATCAATGTTTTAAAGAAACTCAAACAAGATATTTGTGAAGCTGCTGATGGTGTTGCTCCAAATTTTCAAACTTCTTTTACTATCTTCATAGATGTTTCTAATTTAGCTATTTGGATCTATTCTCAAACTGATGAAGATAAAATTGAGTGACCAGTTGTTTTTGAGAACAAGAAGTTGACATAATTCCAAGAAAAATTTGCTAGTATAGAAAAAGAAGTGTATATTCTCTCTAAAAAGTTTGAAACTGACAGATTGCAAGTCCAAATAGTGAGTGACCACAACCCACCAGCTTATCTGAAAAATTGCTTACCTCAAAATGCTCAACTTCAGAGATGGTCCCTAGCTTGAAAATTATAACATTCACTTACCACGGTAAAAGCAATTTAAGTGCAAATCCTCTTAAGTCAACTACCAGCTACTCATTTGGAAGATAAGCATTTATGAAAAATTTGCTAGAAACATTTTCCTTTTAGGTTATATATTATCCAAAACTGAAATCTTATGTTTTAAATATCTACATTTGTATTCAAATATGATTCATGTTTTTAAAAATATCTTTTTAGATGTTGTTCATTTAGTTGATTTCAGGTAAAGTATGTTTTTAAATACACTGATTGAATACCCATTTGAATGAGAAGGTGTTACCTACTAGTGCCCTCTGTGGACAGTAAAGGATGCCATTGCCAGTGAGATGCGGAGAAAAACAGAAAAATGAGTTATGAGGAACATGCTGAATGATATAAAAAGAAAGAAAATCTTAATAAGAGATGTGTGAGTTGTGTATGTAAAATATAGTTATTGTATTGTGTTACTGTGAATAAAAATATTTTAAAAAATGCTAGGCTAATTTATTAATGATGCCAAATAGCAGGCAGAAAGAAACCACGATCATCGGTCACAACAATGCTGCTGCTGTTCATGTGGTTTAGTGTGATAATACTGTTAGTGTCTTGGTTTTGTGGTTTTGATATTTCAAACGTGCTAGGTTACTAGATGGGAGTAGGTCACCTATTGCAAGAATTCCGTTAAACTGTTGTGAGAATATTATTGAAACAGTGTTTGTGTTTGAAACCACAGTAAACAACAAAAGACATCATTACGGAGTTTATTATGCTACCTGAATTGATGAATGTTGATGTTAGCTGTGGTAAAATGGTACCATGCAATAAAACCATACCTTTCTTATGTGGGTTTTTTTGGCACTGTGTATTATTTCAAAAGGACTATTATAGTCTTCACATTCACAAAATTGTCATCCACAGAATTTTTTTCCCTTGTTGGGGGGTATCTTAAAATATGCTGGTACATATGAGTCCATAAAAATAATCCAGATACACTGGAGGACTTAAAAAGAAACATTTTGACAATAACAATGTACAGGTGTTTCACAAAATGGCCGCAAAGATTGTAAAAAGAGCACACACAATACTGTACAGAGTTGCCATTTTAAGCATATGTTACTCTGGTTTGATGCTGCATTTGTACAATGCAAAATAGTAAACATTAAGAATAAGTATTATGTATTTTATAGTTTGTACCTTAAACCAGCAAAATTTACTTGTTTACTGTGATGGGGATGACTTTTTGATCATTCTGTACATGCACTCAAACTTTATTAGTATGTCCATCTTAGGGGAAAAAATTCGTGTTATCTGGAGTTGTGAGAATAGGCCTTTTTTTTAGGTAAACACAAACTGATATTCATTATGCAGTTTCACCGAGTCAGCTGCATATTCACCTTCTCTAATGAGTGGCAGGCACAACAATAAGAATGAGATTCAAGTTATAGTTGAATTGAAGATATCTTATTACATACTGCGATTTTTAATATTACTATATGTTCTCACTGTAATGTAGGTTTCCTTTAAAGAAATAACATTGTGAGCTTATTAATGACCACTTTTCATTTGTTATATTTTTATTGCAACTATGTTCTTTGTAAATTAAAGATTCATTTAACTTCCTCCCCTCTCAGTTATCCTACAATAAAATTAGTAAAAAAAAGGTAAAAATAAACACGGATGTACAGTATTGCCTTTTATTTGTTGTGTCATTATTGTTCTAATTAGATGAATACTAATATAGACTGATTGTCTTATTTTAAGGGTCAGGAAGTTTCTTCAGAAAAAGTGCATGTGGCTGTAAAGACATGTCACAAATTTCATGCAGACAGAGGTATCATTATATTGCTGTTTCCTTTTTCTCTTAAGGCATTTTATTGAATTAATCAAAGACATTTTAAAACTGTATTTCCATGCTAATTTTTAACTGTATTTAATAATTTTTCAATAGTGAAAATTATGAAAAGTACTTGGGCACCTGATGTTGATCATCTCAACATATTCAGTGATGTGAATGATGATTCTATTCCCACAATACAGTTGAATGTTAAAAATGTCCCAAATGGCCACTGCGAGAAAACATTAGCTATCATGAGATTTTACATAGTGAACAGGGTGCCTTTTAAATGGTTGGTCATTGTCGATGATGATACGCTACTGAAGTAAGAAAAAGATATTATTGTATGCTTATAGAAACGTTTGTGCTTATTTGATAGTATTTGAATTTTATCTATTTTTGAAATGTTATTATGTATTTAGTGCATTTTATGTAATAATTTTATTATTTATTTTTTAATCGAATTTTGTAGATCTTGGTATTCTGAATCAGTCAAATTTTTGAATTGCAAAGTTATTTTGATTAGAATCTGAGATGTATGCAGGAAATTTCCTGATGCCCCTTTGCAACATTTGGCAACCTTCTGAAAGTTTCCAGAAAATACATTTTCAAAGCCTTTGGAGCAATTTTACACACTGCTTGGATAACCATTGGCTGCACTGGAGCACAGTTAGTCATTTAGTTATTTCCCCAGAATCTGTATCAAGCTCTGCTAGATGTTTTATGCCATTTTACATCACTGCTTGGATTTTTATAGTGTTTTATACTCTGCTATTTGAATGATTTTGGTTGTCTGCAATATTCATTGTATTTTATGGAGAATTTGCGTTGTTTGTGTTTATCTTCCTGTTCAAGATGTTATCTAATTAAATTGTCAGTTTCTTTCTGTTTATCTGGCACAGTTATTAAGGAGAACTTATGAGCACGTGACTTCTAATAGTATTGCTATTGAGAATTGAAACAGAGTGATTTAAAAATATCTGGCAGAAATATAAAGACAAGTAGGAATAAATAGATTTTCATACTGGAATATGTGTGCTGAAATGGCACATTCAGATGGTATACATCTGAATCACATCATTATAAATAACTATTTTAATAAATCATTTTTTTTCCCAAGCCTGTTTAATTCTAAGCTTTACCATTTTATTTTGAAATTCGAAAGGAATAATATTTGTTGTGAATGATATGTACTGAGGTACTGTTTTAAGATTCTTTAACATTTGGTGCATCATAAATGTTTTAGGTTATCCACCTTTAATATCCAGTTTCCAATAAGATCCTTTTTCAGAATGAACACTTTCTCCAAAATTTGGCATTCCCTTCAAAAGTCCTGTCTACATTTTGAATGCTTTAGATGCATATATAATACATATTTTTCTGTCATTTACTTTAGTAAATAGTAATATGAATCAAATTTTTATAACATTCTTGCTTTTTGCACTGTATTTTATAACAAATGTGTAAAATTATTCAGATATTCATACTTAATTTGATAATTATTTTGTTGTGAAAATTGGAGAAATCGGATAAATAGTGAAAACCATGGGAATAGAGCAATAAAAATTTGCATGGCTGAATGGAAATCAGTGCAGTAATGAAGATATCAAGTGAAATTATGCTCTGACATGTATTCTCATGAGTCCTTTTATAAGTTGCTATTTCAACCTTCCTTTAAAAATAACATAATGCTTTTTATTTTAATGCTGTTAGCTTTCTGCCCTGCTGATAGCAAAAGCTACTGGAAACCAAATGAAAATAGCAATAATTGATCAAACCTAATAAAAATATTTAAAATGTAGTATTAGTTTGTAATATTTGCTAATTCATTAAATTGCTTTTGATAAATTAAAAAAATATATGTTAACTGAATAATTATTTAAGTACATATTAATAAAAAATATTCTATTTACTCACATATTTTTCCTTTAACATTTCACCAGAAGATATGACATTTTTTAAGTAGTCACATAATTTTCCCCTCTCTCAGAGCGTTCAAAAAACGAGCTTGTGCAAGTTTCAAAGGGATTCATCTGTATAATTATTGTTTTCATCTCATTAATTGATTTGTTTGTGGATTTTGAGTGCAAGGGCTCTGAATGATGAAGTAATAATAATGGAGATCTTCAAGAAAGTAAGATACATAATTAAGATACAATAACACACCGAACAAATGTTAATTTAGAAGTTAAACAATGAAAATCAGCATTACATTTTCAAATTTTCACAGGATTAGTTTCAATGGTTTTACCGAACCATCATCCTCAGCTGCAAAAGTGCAAATGAACAAGATAAGATATAGTGATTAAATAAGATAAGAAAGACTGAACAGGAGTTAAGCTACTGGCACCATCTGTTGATGAAACAAGAACTAAAACATAATTTCTTTAAAGGCTGAAGGCAAAGATGGATTGGAATTAGGATCATTAACTAGAACAGAAAGATTTTTTTGAGTGCGAAATGGCTCTAGAAAATCTAATTCACCAATGGAAGATGTTGTTTTGAATAATTTTTGCTGCAGTGATTTTCGGTCCAACAATGTTGGGCAACAGCAGACTTCTGTGTTTCCTTTTTTCTAGCATATGCCTTATGTTCCTTGATGCAAAATTGTAAGGCTCTCTTAGTTTGACCAATGTAAATTAAACTACACTAGCAAGGAATCCTGTAAATACCCCAGGAATTCAATTCCGGAATGGGGTCCTTGAGTATGGAACTCAGAATTTTATTGATGGGAGAATAAACGACCCGAAAGTTAAATTTCTGTAAAATACGTGCAACTTTATAGCTACAGAATTCTTTTAATCTCCTAAAACAAAAGTGGGCCTTTTGGTGTGTTGAGATGAGAATTTTTTAACTGCTTGATTAATAATGTTGGGTGAAAAACCTCTGTCAATAGCAACTGCTTTTAAATAATTCAGTTCTTCATCAAGAGACAGTTTGGAGGAGCAAACTTAAAGAGCAGGGAAAACATAGGAATAAAATGAAACTAAATTTTGTTTAGTCCTGCCCAGTCTTTCTTATCTTATCTAATCACTATATCTTATCTTGTTCATTTGCACTTTTGCAGCTGAGGGTGATGGTTTGGTAAAACCATCGAAACTAGTCCTGTGAAAATTTGAAAATTAATGCTGATTTTTGTTGTTTGACTTTTAAATTACGGTATAATGCTTTTGATTGTTCTGAAGATCATTGCTCATGGGAAGACAAACAAAATGCTGATGAAGATGATGATGGTGATGATAGTAACTGTTTGCAAGTTGTAGAAGACCATCTGCATTAAATGATTTCAAGCTTAGGGAGTAGCAGTTTACAGCAAAAAGAGCAGATGAGGTTAAAGATTTAGGAAATAGAAATGAAGGCATTAGATATTGGTAATGATAATATTACTGTGTAATTTTATTGGAATGTAGATTTTTTTTTTTAAAATAAAAAATATTGTGATAGGTGCCAGTAGTTTATCCCTGAATACATTTCATGCATTATATTTTCATTATAATTTGTCCTTTGAAAATTAAACTATTTTTATAATTCTCTCCTCTTCATTTTTGTATGATAAATAAAGTACAAATTAGTAAAAAAAAAAAGGGAAGTAAGTGCGTGAGCGTTACTATGATTAATACTTTGATGAGCATTTAATTCTAATAATGAGTGAAAAAATACATTCAATTTTGTTAATTTATATCATCGAATTTCTATAAAACTATGCAATTTAAACTAATCTCTAACAACAGGGTAGAATGTACCCCTTCTTTCTGGATATTTTACTAACATGTTTTGCTATAACCAACATTTGTTAAGAAACTAAATATATTCTTACATATATCAAAGAAAATGTCATATTTAATGAGCAATTTCATCAAAAAGAAAATTTGATGAAATTGCTCATTTTTTATTCTGAATCTAATGATTTTTAATTGATGACCCCAAAACCACAAAATTGAACTCTTAATCTCACCAGCTTTATGTCCCAAGCTCTGTGAATTTTAGGTCTTTTATTGTATCTAATTATTAATTTTTATGAACATCTCTACACTTATTTAGAGGTAAAAAATGTTTTGAAGACCTTTGATAGTAGAATAGCGATAATCTGCACTCCTTAGGACTAAAAACTGCATAGATTAGAGAATTTTTTTATGCATGATAAGTCATGCTTTTCTAAGCTTTGTTCAGATTTTTCGATTTCTAATTTTTGCATTAAATCTGGATCGTTTGTGCATAAATACATATCCAAAACATGCTCATACTATCCAAAACATACTCATACTAGAATTATTTAATGCAAATGTACTAAACAAAAAACTATTAAAGTTTTTATTTGCAGTTATATTAAAAAATAATGTTCACTATAAATCAAAAATGTAATAGAGAGAAAAAAAGGTAGGACAGGAAGGATAAGGAGAGAAAAGGAGATAAAGAATAAGGCACTTTTTTGATGAACTGAAAACTTCTTTTGTAAAAATGTATTGAAATATATTAACATTTTATTTTATACATTTATATATTAATATTATTATTTTATACATCCACTGACGAAGTATGTGTTCAGATGAGAGAATAAATAAATAAATAAACTGTTTACAAAAAAAAAAGAAAGTAAGGTTTCCCTCATCTTAATTCTGCTGCTATAATCTACACGTGTACATATGAATTAAATAACTTAAGTGCTAGAATTGAAATTTTATATTTATTAAAAGAAAATTTTTCTCTTCTTTAACACAATCCTTTAATATTTGACATATTTCCCATTTTTAAAGTTAAAAAAATATCTGTAATTGTTAAGACTCAATCCCTATTTCTTGCCATTTTTAACAAAGCTTGCTTAATGTTTGGAATTTAAACCAGATACCAGATGTGTTTAGCTTGGGATTTAGTGTCATGAACAAAAATTCTTAATGCATGTTAACCCTACAATCTGAAAATTAATTTTTAAAGGCTGTGAAATGTGCATACAAAAGTTAAAATTTTGTCTAAAATGACAAAATTGCATGTACAAAATTGCAGAAATTTACGACTTTTATGTATTATAAAAAACAATTTTAAAGCTTGTTCAGAAAATGTTTATTATCTTCAGTAATAAAATTAATTTACTTTTCACTTAAAATGTGATATGAGCATAGTGTATTTTTATTAAAAATTTAAGGAACTTTCTGATTATCCACACCCCTGTTTTGACACATGGTGGAATTGTTATGTCTTTAGCATATTTTCGAGCATACATGCGACAATAGGAAGCTCATGCCTGCTCGTATAACACATATGTTTGAATGCATGTGGATTTGCAGGTTTTATATTAACCTTTTTTTTTTTTCTTAACAGTACCCATCAGCTGCAAAAATGCAAATAAAGACCTTATAGATGGTTCTTTTTTATATATTTTTCTTATAAAATGCTTCTACTATTTACTATTATTTATGAGCAGAACAGTATCTATGAAGTCTATGAATACCTATAACAGCTGAACAAGTGTTGTTCATCAATTCACAAAGTCGCTAACAAATTGATGACTTTTTTATGGGGTTGCAATTTGTCATGCTTTCTGAAAATAAAAATTTTATTTGTTTATATCCAAAAATGAGCACATATTATAAGCATTCATGAATTATTCTGTATTACAAAATTGCTTGGAAACAGAATAGTCATGTTGAATAATCAGAATAGGAGACAGAATAATTATGTTTGAATGGTCTTACAAACAACTTTTTTTTTTTTTTTTCCCAAAATTCATAGCAGTGGTAAAATGAATTAAAAGTTTCATTATATTGTTTTCTTACCTTTACTTCAGTTGTAATAGTATTAAAATTTCATTTACAGAGCTGCATTACTTTGACAAATTTGACATGATGAGTATTACATTACAGCTTTCATAGGCTGAAGAAGTTATTAACTTGCTACCACCCTTCTGAAAAGGTGGCTCTGGGTGAAAGATATGGTTATAGTGTAACAAATGGTTTAGGTTATGATTACCTCACTGGAGGTGCAGGGTAAGTAAATTTTGCTTTTGCCCTGAGGCTTTATTTTCTTTTTAAAATAACTACTTATTCTAAATTTTTTATTAAATGAAAGTGATTTTCTCTCTTTCTACATTTTTGACTGATTATGAAACTTATCTACTTTAAGCATTGTTATGAATTTATAAACAGGGTTATTATCAAAGTAAGTAAATGATTTGATGTTGTCTTTTTGTTGAATGAATTGAATACATTGCTATCAAATCTTCTTCTTCTTCTTCTTTTTTTTTTTTTTTTATCACAACTTCCAGTTTCCCAGTAAATTACCTAATTTTCTGGTTTTTAAATTTTTACCCTTTTTATGGAAAATGCTTCCTAACAATAAATAAAATTTATTAATGATACTTAAATGGTGTTAATTCCATTGCCTCCCATCACTAGTGATTTTCACCATAACTTTTCTTGTTAAATTTTGTTTTATTTGAATTGTCTTAATCTACTATAAACATTTGTAGAAACTTTTATGATGATTCAGACTATGTTTATAGTCTGAATATGAATTTTAGAATATCTAATTAAATGAATAAAGAATATGAATTTTAGAATATCTAATTAAATATTAATATATTTTAGTAATGTAAATCATGCATTATAAAGTAAATTTAAATTAGTCAGTCTAAAGTTCTTTTGAAATCACATTGCCACACAGTTTGAAAACATCATGGAAACTCAGTTTTTTATGCAAGAACCCACAATTTTTCATATTGCAAAGTTGACAGTTATGCAAACATAGTAGTGCCTTGTATTGTTCAATTTGTTGTGTGTAAGTTAAATCGACTGTGGGAATTTACCCAAAAGTTTGCAAAACAGTGGGATCCTTAATAACAATTAACATTTTCTATTTACTCAATAACGCTGTATGTACCTTTTCTAAGCAAGACCAGCTCCAATATTTTGGCAATCAGTGTAGTTGGTTTCCCTAAATAAATTAAATACATTGATATTTCAACACAAAATATACCTTTATCTAGTTAATTTAAGATACAACACTTTTAATATTTGCAATTTATTATAAATGAACTGCATGTGTCTTTTGCAAGGTGACTTTGTCAGTGATGTCATTGTTTTGTAACTCTTTTGCTATATCGTTTTATGATAGATATGTAAGATAATTCAACTGTTCTTTGCATAAACGTAACTTCAAATAACATTAACAATACCAGCTGAAAAAATGTCCTTCTGCTGTGATTGCTAACACCAGAATAGGGTGAGGGGAAACTTCTTAAATGCCACCCCATAATTAGAATGAGCTCTCTTAGGGAGATTCAGGAATAACTTCTTTTGATAATTTTGCCATGCCAGAAATGAGATCTTGGCAGTTGCATAATTTGATGGTAATTTCTATAGCGTTAATATCTTGCTATATTATCAATTATCATTTGGACTTGGCATATTGCAAATTTTTGCGATTTTTCATTAATGAACTTCTATCTAATTCTGCAAGATTATAAAGAAATGATGCTTCATTTTCAGGAGTGTTCAAAAGTCTGCTTCATGGCATCTTTAACATCTTAGTATTTTAATATTTTACCCCCTGCCACTCCAGCAGCAGATTGTTACTCATGAAAACAACTTGGCTTCTGAAAATCAACACTCAAGATGGCTGCTTTTGTTGTCTGTTCTTGGAGTCTCACCTGTTTCTAATATTGCAAAGTGAAATTCATTGTCAACAACATTTTGGTTTCCTTTTGAGCTGTTTGTTATTTTATTATGTATGAAAATGAATGATATGGAAGAAATGCATATTTGTTTAAAATTTTACTATAAACTTGGTAGAAAATCATAAAATGCATCAGCAAGCTTCTGCTGAAAGGACTTTTTTAAGATATTAACCCACCCAGGCTTAATTATTTTAGAAATTGTCAAGTGATAATGAAAACATATTGAATATCCAACAGTTTGAAAAATTTCTGATGATGCTCCAAAAGTCTGATCTTTTTAAAACCAACAGAAGATTCATAATACTGACCAGAATTGCTAGTTTTTTTATGGCGAATTTTTATTGGATGTATTAAATATAAGAATACATTCATCAGAAAAGGCTAAATCTATCAGTCATTTAGCCATCTCATCTCTGTTTCTGAAGCTGCATTACAGAGGTAACTGATAGTATGCCTACAAAAAAAGATGATGAACAATTACAAACACTCATGCCTTCTCTGAGATTCGAACCGGAACCCAATGAGGTGGCAGTCACCATCAATTAACCACCATATCCGACAGAGTGGCATTTGTTGTACGGCAGTTTCTAGCATTTGCTAACATGGCAGTTTTTCTTCACAATCATAAGATACAGCTGTGTAAGCAATAAAACAAGCATTAACTACAACAGCTCGTTTTAATTAAATACATAAACAATCACTCACACTTAGCACAGACTGGAATGAAGTTAAGCTGGAATAAAGTAAGTATTCTCATAAAAGTATCCAAAAATTAGAAAAGCAATAGAAATCACTGTTTGACCAACAACAAAAGACAAAAAACTTACAGGTACAATTTTGGACAACCATTCTTAAGAAAAAAATAATTCATTTGCCATCAGGACTACTGATGGAAACTGTTACTGTGTTATAATTGCTGCTAAATTCAGAATGAAGGATAAATAGAGATTAGTTGAATAGGAGAAGGCAAAGAAATGGTAAAATAAGATACATTTAAATTCCAGCTGACAAAATGAGTGTGCTGTTCACAAGAGCTTGAATAAAACTAATGGAACTACATAAACGTGATTAGAAACAGTATAAATTGACATGTGATTTTAATTTCGTTATTCAGTTTGACATTTATGCTACTTGTATCAATTAATATCCTCAAGAGCTCTAGTGTACAAAAGCTGCTAACTTATTAATGTTTAAGATTGTTTTTAGTATGTCAACTTTCATTTTAACTGTGAGTGCCTTTTGATTCTGCAATAACTCTATTGTTATCTTTGCAATTTTTTAATTGAATAAATAATTTTTAGTCCAAAGGGACAATTTGCCCTGAAGGACTATTTTTGTTTTGCGATTTCACATTGAAACCTTTAAAAGGCTGTATCACTTTTCAAATCGTGGCCACCAAATATTATCGCCCTGTATTATATCTGAAGAAATAAATAATGAAGAATCTGCATAAATGTATATACATGTTTCAAAAAGAATGTACGTATTACAAAGTGTTATTTTGTCCAAACTATCGGTCATTGCGCCTTGGTTTGGCTATTAGCACAACAAATACATAGTCTAGTTTATATTAATAGCTGCTAGATGTCAGTTATATTAATAACCGTTAGATGTCAGTTGTCTTCTGTTTTGCATGATAACCATCACATGTTTAAAATGGCTACTCCACAGAAGAAATCATTTTGTGTTCTCGAGTTCTCAAGTGCAATTCCGTGATTACAGTGCAAAGATGTTTCAAGTTGAGGTACCAAAGTGATCCTCCGAATGGGTGAAACATTCGTAAATGATATCGAGAGTTTGTAAATACAGGATATGTATGTGTTTTGTGCGATATCCCGATCATCTGTTTATGGCCCATTCTTCTTTGATGAAAACATGGTTAAAGGTCTGCAGTATCTCACTATGTTACAAAACTGGTTGTTTCCGAGGCTGTTTTCAACAAGATGGGGTAGCCCCTCACTGGTGTCGCTATGTGCGTGATTATCTGAATGAAACTACCGAACCGTTGGATTGGTCGTCAAACAGCTGGCGACTTAGCATGTCTCAACTGGCCTCCACGGTCACTGGATTTTACACCCTGTGACTTCTTCATGTGGGGTTTCATTAAAGACTGTTTATGTACCACCACTTCGACAGAATCTGGAAGAGGTGAAGAACCAGATCTGTACTGTCATAACATCAGTGACGATGGACATGCTTGCCCGAGTATGGGAGGAATTTGAGTATTGATGTGATATTGTTCGTGTCGCTGATGGAGGACAGATTGAATATCTGTAATCTGAACTAGAGAGGTTCGTGTGTGTAAAGTTTCATATTCATATGTCCTACAGTTTAATAAATATATGCATTCGAAATACATATATTCGTTTTGAAACAGTATGTTTCTTGCATGGTGATAAAACAACGGTACCTAGAGCCATCAAAATTTGACTAACATAACCTTCCATAGAATATGGGCATGTGGAAGCCCTAATTTGAATTTGAAATTTTGTTTTATTATCGATTTCATATTTTGTAACACTTCAACGAATTTTTGATTAAAAAACTAAATGATTTCAAAGCGAGAAATGGCAGTGTTGTATAGAAAAAACTTTATCTCCAGCGCATAAGACTGTGCATCAGAAATTCTAAAGATATGCCCAATTTAAAATTATTTTGCGATATTGCTCTTGAACCGAATTTTATGGTTTAAGTGCGAAGAACATATTTAAAAAATAAAGGTAGCACACGAAATGTTAAAAAAACACCCCTTTGGATATAATTTAAAATCTGAAACCTTTCAGACTTTCTTTTTTTATTATTATTACTTTGCTCCTGATCTTTGAGGCATTCTACTCAGATTAGGTCTTCAATTTAATCATGGCCAAGAGGAAGACAGAATAGGAAGAAGAGGGTGAGACATCATAATTTCTCACTGGTCATACTGGTATAGTCCGATTGCACTAATTGTACAGCTCTATTCTTGTTTTGATGGAGGATGAATGCGAAGATCCCCTATACTATCTTCTTCTATCACTAGATTTTCTGAGAACACTCAGCTCACCAGTATTTTAAGTGTTCCCATGACATGCAGACACTATACACTTTCAAACATCCATGCCTCCTCCTAGATACAAAATTGGGCTCAGCAATATGGCAACCAACATCACTGACCACTCTGCTGGGGGGTCAAGATCCTGCCTGTCATCATCTTGCCAAGGCCTTGTACATCTTGTTGATGATAGTATTGCTGTGCCTTTCTGTGTCCCATTGTTCATGGAGAACATCCTGGAAGATGCAATCAAAGAATCTTCTACTTCTCTTCCCCAATATTTAAAACATCAACAAGTCGTGCATCAACATCAAGTAAGTAATCTCTCAAGGAAACTTTCGACTCAATGCTATTTTAAGTGCCTCCATGATGCAAAGACACCTTACATATGCTAACATCTATGTCTTCTCTGATATTTGAACCTGAGCTCAACAATATGGCAGCGGCAGCTGGCACTGATAAGCATTATACAAACAGTATAAGCAGTAAGTATTCTAAAGATCCTTGAACTACAGAGGGTCTTCACATATTTCTGTAATGATTTTGCAAAGCTTTATATATAAACAAACCTTAGAATTTTATTTTCTAATATTTTCACTCTGATAGTCATTTTGTTGAACTATTATATTACTTCTTAATTTCCAAGATAAAAATCCCTTTCTTAAAACATCAAGGTTGATTTTATTTCACTCCTCCTTCACAATCTTCCAGAGTCCATCCAGTGTTTTAGGATTCCGCTTATAAAGAGCATGTTTTTAAAAGTCCAAATGTACAGTAATCCATAGGTGGCACACCAGGGGACTTGGGTGGGATGCATTTAAAGGAAATAGCTTCAATTCCAGTTTCATTTCTCATTTAAAAAAAAAATAGAGCAATAGATTTAGAGGTATGGCTTGGAGTCTTATCCTGATGGAACTTAACATAGTGAAGATTGTTTGGATAAAGAGATAGAATTTCTTCTTTAAAAATAGGCTTTAAAACATATTTCTGACAGTAATCCGAATCCATTTTGACATTTTTTCTACTTTCCTTATTATAAATTTTCTGCTATAAGAGAATACAGTAATACCCATGAAACCTTTAGAAAAACTTTCCTTATTTTCTCTGAACCAACATATTAAGTCATTTTCTTCTATTTTTTGGCAGTTAATTGATATTTTTTCTATTGAATACAGCTATATCAATCAGTATATCCAAGCCTTATCAATTGTAACTATATATTTCCATTTTTCACCTGCCAGATAATTTTCATATAACAATCTGCACATAGTCTTACGCTGAGAAACATATTTCAGCATTTGATGATGAACATCATGTTTTTTTTGTTATGATTAGCTTTTAAGTCAGATTTTTATAATTTTTTTCACAGTTCCTACAAATATATTTAAATATTTTGAAATAGCTTTTGGGGGTGGCTGGATTTCCTTTAAAGCATGAGATGCAACTTTAGATTTAATAAGATCCGTATGTACCTTTGTTGGGTAAGCATTTCTTGCCTTTTTCTCAGTCAGATGTAAACTTGACATTTCTTTCCTTTCATATTAATTATGTCACTTATTTTACAAGAAAAAATATTAAAAACATGCTTTTCACATCTTTTTTTAATAATTGAATAAGAGTACTTCTCTTCGGACAGTACAGCAGTATAATCTTTGATCCCTTGTTTATTTTTCAGCAACACTTTAAAGAAAATAACATTCTTAATGTTGCAGACGATAATTAAGCCTTATTCCAATTGGATGCCAGTCACATTTGTATTTTAAAATTAAAATTTAAATTCATGGAGAAAATCAAAATCTTTACAAAAATTTATGAAAACCCTCTGTACTGTAAGAGAACCAAAATAATTTCTTCTTCTCAGAAAGCATTTAATAGATAAATGTCTACTACCGTACTATATTTATTATAAGAAAGTGAGTTGCAGCAACTGACAAATCGATAAGATTGAGTATCCCCTATACCAGTTTAATTATCAATGTAGTAGGTCTCTTTGAATCTGTACTTAAAAAGCTATAATCAAATGGTACTAACCAACTAAAGTTATATAATTACTTATCTTGTTCTATGATGAAGTTTTGCACTCTCCCCTGCCTGCTTTAACTGTGTATATGGTTGGCACATTCATCTGGTAACTGGAAAAAATGTGCTTCAAATCTTAGAGGAGATACAGTTGCTTCTTATGTGCTAGTTTGAATGGTGTCTGAAATTCTTAAGAAATTTTTTATATGTATTAAAAATCGTGCTTATGTCACTTTTTAATTTTGGGAAGCTTTAATAAAAATTAAATTAGCCTTATTAGATTTTTTTATTTATTTTTTGCTATTTTAAGTGAATTTTGTTTTGGTTTTTAAGCGTTTTTGTTATGTCTCATAATTTTGGTGGGATGAAACCAAATTACAGATTAGTTAAACGCCATATGTGAAATATGAATTGATAATAAATGGAATATTTTAAATTATACACATATTATGCATTATTAAACTTCTTAGTAATATTTGAAATTTTTCTAGAATGGTTTTCTCAGCACCCACTGTTAAAAAATTGATTGAAACTTGTCAGTGTCCATCCATTGATTCTCCAGATGATATGATTATAGGCATATGCTTAAAAAAATTAAATATTCCTGTCATTCATTCTTCACATTTTCATCAAGTAAGTACCTATTATTAAATTTGAATTATCAGGTAAATGAAAATTATAGAAGCAAAAAACTTATGTAATAAAATTTTAAGAAATTTGGAACTAGAGCTTGATTTAAAAACAAAACAGGCAAAAGAGAATGTTATGCTATAAGTGTGTATGATTTAGGAAGTGAAATTTACTTATGATAAAATTTAAACAGTAGTCCATGATCCTGTGAGATCTGAAAAGTGTATGTAAGTATGTTTATGTGTGTGCATATATATATATATACAGGGTGTTTTTTTTTTTAAACTGACGGTACTCAGAGACCTTTGTAGCTTGAACTATGAGCCTCAAAGCCACGAAATTTTGTACAGGGACTCAGGTCCGCACCAAGCCTAATCGGCACGTCGTGAAAATGTCTAGCGAGCGCCTTTATGCAGTGACGATATTAAAGGAAAACTGCTTATAAATAACACTTAAAATGAAGTATTATTAACATAATAGTATAAGAAACCAAAAAAATTAAATTTTATCTGTCAGTTTGTCTAAATGTGCAAACATTTTGTGCTTTGTTAAAACCCACACAAATATAGAATAATTTATTGAAAAATTATATGCATATTTATTTTATAAAAAAGTAACACTGCAAGCGAAGCGAAATAATACATTAAACGCATTGGATACCAAATACACTCTATAACAAAAAAATCGATGCACCAAGAAGTTGTCCAATGGGGACAAAAATTGGTGGATCAGAAGATTATGTACAGAATAGAAAATTATTAAAATTTCAGAATAGTTGAATGATTTATTTCAAAGTTACATAGTTACAAAGTAACAAGCTCAATAAGATGTTGACCCACCTCTAGTCAGAATGCAAACTGCCACACGGTGTGGATTAGACTGATATAGCTCCTGGATGGTCTCCTGCAGTATTTCTTGCCACATTTGCTCCAATTGTCAGCCTAGGTCATCAACATTCCGTGGTAGATGCAGTCACCTTTCCATCATATCTCACACATGCTCAGTGGGAGAGAGATCTGGCTGGCCAATGCAGTGATTGACAAGCTGTAAGACAGGTCATAGCAACATGTGCAGTGTGTGGTCTGGCATTATCTTGCTGAAAAATAAGGCCAGGGCAAAAGGAACGGTAGCAAAACAGGTCTCAGAATGTCGTCGACGAACCGCTGTGCTGTAAGTGTGCCTCTAATGATGACCAAAGGTGTCCGGCTATCAAGGGAAGTGTCACCCCAGACCATAACTCCTGGTTGAGGGCCTGTGTGGTGTGCAATAATGAAAGCAGGATCGGCATGCTGCTCTGGGCATCCCCAGATACGTCTTCGATGATCATCACGACACAGTTGGAAGTGAGATTCGTCGCTAGACTATATGTTCCCTGTCATCATCATTCCAACCTGATTGAGTCAAGCACCACTGTAATCTGGCTCGACAGTGTGCAGGTGGTGTAACTCTCGGCAAGTGGCATAATGTTTGGTACAAGCATAGATTTCGCTCTCTCAGCCATCTGTGAATGGTCATGGTGGACACCCATGTGAGGTCGCACGTCTGATTGTTGATAGCTTTGAATCAGGCACTGTGACAGCTGATTTGACAAATACTCTGTCCTCCTGATCGGTTGTGGCCTTAGGTCGACCATTACCATTATGATGCTGAAATCTGCCATTGTCCACACATTCTTGCCTGCATCTTCTAATCACCACATCGCTTCGGCTCATATGACGAGCAGTTCTCCAATTTACCCAACTTGTGTCTAAGACCTCTTTCAAACTCTGACAGTTGCTTGTAATGAGCTCGAATCCTGCAGCAAGGCATTTTTTCAGTTGTTGAATACTGCCCTAAATCGCAATACAACAGAAAGTTTTACAACAGTTCGAGAAAAGCTTCTTATATATATCAGCTGGATATAGAGTTTCGATGAATCGCACTATTCGTTCATTGGACACCAAATTTTAGTCATTTGCATATTTGGTCAAAACATTTATTCATACGAAATTTCAAAACAATCAGATGATTCCTTCTTAGCATGTCGATTTTTTTTTTGTTATTGATTTTATATTGCTTAACACTATTAGTTATCTTAATACTAAAAACAAATTAATTTAAGTATCTAATAAGTTTGTACTGAATAAATTGTTGTTAGCATCGTTCACGACAAGGTTCAAACTGTGATCACAACAGGGCACAAAAATTGCTCCAGAGCTGATATCTAGGGATGTATCCAAAATTCTTTTCTGCACACCACTATGTTGTTGACAACGATACAGCTTGGAGTTTCAACCGATGATGCTACATTTTCTCCAAAAGTTTGCAATAAGTGCAGTTCATGCATAAGATCTATACTATTTATATTGCTTTGATTTTTATCAGTTAATGCCTTTTGCAGTTTTTGGCATAAGCTGAGCTGATCTTGTAAATATATGTGAATGAAAATACGTGATGCTGATGCGTATGTAAGGGTAGATGCCGGCGTCTTCGACAAATTGCTTAATTCTTATTTTTTGTCTATTGTTGCAGTCATAGTAATTTGTGCAACATTAACCTTTTTGTGACTTTTTTTGGTGATTGCTTTTTGTTATCCTACATAAGAAAAAGGCAAGTGCAGTTATATATTATGTTAATCATAGGTTAACTTTTTAATTTGGAAAAGCAACGATTTGACCATAATTACTCAAAATCTCTCATGTTTGAGATGTCTCCTGCCCTGGTAAAATAAGACAGTATGATAGGAGGAAGGGGCACTCAGACCTGGCAAGCTTCAGGAGAGTTAAACATCAGACAGAGTTAAACATCCCAACTCCTAGAGGAGATCCAAGAGGCCCCTAACCTATCGGTCAAGCTGAAGAGCTAAGACTAAGCTGAGTCGATAGGAATAGTCAACAACTCACATTCCACGCTCCATCCTGGAGAGGTAGTAAAAGCATTTGCCATCGAGAGGGGTTCCAACACCGGATAGCAGAACGAAGTCACTTAAACACTACCAGACAGACCGGACCACCAATCTGGCCTGCTAACACTACGTCATGGTACATAGACTTTGGCTTTAGGTGCCCTCAGGGAGAAACCAAGGAAGGATATGAATATACAGTTTTGAGGCTTCTGCCGCCCACTGGAATCCTCAAGCAGTTTAAAGGCTTGCTGAATTCTCCAACTTCACCGACGGATGTGTTTTGCCTCAGATAACCATGAATATCTGACTATATAGCTCCACCAGAACCAACGGAATGGACAAGACAGTGCCATATGGTCCCTATCGAGCCTGAACCAGCCATCACGAGCGATGACTCCAGTTCTGTGAAGACTGATTTAGACACCCGTGGCCGAGACTGCCTAGGTAAAGATCCTAATCAGTAGCTCCTCAGGTTTTATTTCAGTCGACTCCCCCAGGGATGGCATTCAAATGAGACAAGAATTTTCTTGTTGAGATAAGCTCCGAGACAGACTGCTTGTTTTAATGATTGCCCAACACCTTTTTGATCCTGCACCTATTGTCGGTGCGGGCCTGCAGGGACTATTGACGACACGCGAAAAAGGAGTCCGAAAAAAAAAAATTAGTTCCAAAAGTTGCCAATGGTAGGAAATGTGGTACTTTACACTTTAAGATAGCTAAAATTTTGCATAAAACACGTGAAAAAATTGCAAAATACAAAATCCTGATTACATAGTCAAAACCAATGCCAGTATTTTGAGTTCCATTCAGCTGTAGAGAGTACAGTGAACAGAATGCAATTCTTAGTCCAAGAAAATGGAGGTCATATTGAAAATAGCCGATGTCTTTCCCGGTAAAGCGATTTTACTGAATAAAAACAAAAGAACAAAGAATAAAAAGGAAGTCGAATAGAATGCTCTCTTTCTCTCTCTCTCTCTCTCTCTTTTTTTTTTTTTTTAATAATTTGTAACCATTTACAGAAGTTTTTTTTTAGAATAAAGTACATTCATTTATCTGTTTGCTGTAACTTTTTAAAGTTTATAGTCCCTATACAAAATTTCCTGGCTTTGCAGCTGATACAGCAGTCTCCGAGTACCTTCAGTCAGTCAAAAAAAAAAAAAAAAAAAAAAAAAAAAAAAAAAAAAAAAACTGTGTATCAAAGATTGAATTAATTAATTGAAATTCTTTGAAATCAAAATAAATTTCCTAATACTACATGTGCAACAGCTGCAAAGTAAGGTAATAATATTTTGTTTACTAAAGTAATATGGATTATATTATCTCCTAATATAAAGTTAGTAGAATGCATCTAAATCTAAAGTAACCCAGAAGCATTGACATTTAATCCTGAAAATAATATTTTTAAAGGAACTTAAATTTAAATCATGAAAAATAGAAATATAAAAATTAATAAACCAAGTAATCACCGTCATTGATCGGAAATTGGTTGACTTTTCAAGGGGAAGAAACCAACCCCCATTCAACTAACAGTAATTAATAAATGCAAAGGTGTTTTGTCTTTTACTCAAGTAAGAAGTATGATGCCAAACTGGCAATTTGAATTAAGGCCAAACTTGTAAGTCGAGATTAATCAGTTAGTGAGATTAAAGCGAGATGAAGTAAAGTGAAGTACTATAAAGAATTCATTATGAAATTAATGAATTACACTATGTAGCAGTTTCATTAAGTGAATGGGTTTTTTAGAAATCTTGGGATATTATTGCCAACTTGAATAGGAGTAAATAAATTTCTCTGCTGGATAAAGTAGTAGTAAAATTTTTTATCATTTACTTCAGTAAAATGTCCCCCGACACCCTTGCTTTCATGCATGTTAATTCAAAGCTATTTTTATAAACATAATAAACAGAATTTAATCTTTGCTATATTTATGAAATTGAATTCAAAGTAACCGTTATAAACATAATAAAAATGCAATCTTTGCAAAATTAATGAAATATAAGTTGAAAAATTGAAAGATATTTATAAAATAAGGTACAAGAAAATTTACAAATTAAAATGTACATAATATACATAAATATGAATTAATTAACTTATGTTCATTCTAGTGGGAGAACGGTGAAGTGTTTGTGTCTGTTTCCTTAGAAGGAGTGTGGTATGCTATGCTATCCGAGATGTAGGGAGCAGCTGCGGATCTTTCGAATTAATACAGTCGGTTAACCTTTGAGAAGCTATTTTTGGAATGTGGGAGGGAAGTGGTTGCGAAGCTCTTTTGCGAGTGTAAATGCATCTGTTAAAATTTTGATATTATACTAACTAGTGAAAGGACGTTAATTAATTTCTGGCTAATTGTTATTGCAGAATGAGGAAGAAAAGAAGACTAAGTAATTTTCACTGCTAACGAGCTATTTAGCAGACTTATGAGTATGAAATAGGCTCATTTCTTTAGTAACAGCAAAAGGAATAAGAAAAAGCCATAAAACAGTGATTTTTTTGTATTATGTTGCAATTATTTCCGTAATTACACTATGAACAAATTCTCCAACTGATAGTCATTCAACTTATACCACCTTCTCAGGTTTAGGAACAAATTTTCATATCCCTATCAGTTAAATGATTTAGAGAGAGTATTTTACGCCTGCTTTTTTAAGGCAATTATTAATAAAGCGATTAGATACTAGATTATTTTTGAGAATTTTAATAAGAAGCAGAATTTCACATTGTAGATCTATCGTATCTGTGCAAATATTTTTAATACATTGTATTTGATTTCTTGGAGATGTTGGAAGTCTTTATTAATTTGTTAGTATAGAAATTGATGTCTCTTGTTTTGTCAAATAGTATACCGTATTTTGACGGCATATAAAACGCACTTTTTTTCCCTAAATTTGGTCTCAAAAAAGTTACCTGCGTCTTATACGTGAAGGTAATTGCATTCAATAATTGTTTATTTGGCTTTTACGAAACGTGAGAACTAAAAGAAACCACGCTATTGAAACCTTTTTTCCTTGTGTGTGGCCGTCTAAATAACGGTGCGTCTTATATGCCGTCAAATACGGTAATTTTTTTTAGTTAATTATTTGAAGATCAAGATAGTCGATGATATTTTGAAAATGATTAGTTTTATTAAGAGTAGGGCAGTTTGGATAAATCTCAGAGTTTTCAGTTTTCTTAAAATTATTAAATGTAATAAGATCATCTATATATCTGTAAATGCACGTGTAGTAATTTAAATCTTGTTGTAAATTATTTTGGAAGGTAAATTCTTTGATGAATAAAAAGATATTACAGATGGAAGTACTCAAATGTGCACCCATTGGGATACCTCTGACTTGCTTAAAAAATTTATGTTGAAATTTAATTTAGTTATGAAAAATGGTGCATTTTAGGTAGGTTTTCCATTTAATTATTATCAATAAAGAAGTTTAAAGTATCTAATAGGAAAGCACAAATTAAAAATAATTTGAAGTGAAAACTTAAAAGTCAAAACTGAAATAAAAGTAAATTAATACAAAAACAAAATAACAAACATTAAATATATATTCAATAATAGTTGATAATTTTCTTGTTGTCAAGAAGCAGTAAAAATAATTATTGCTTTCTGAATTATATCTGGATGAATTGCAAAAGAAAAGAATTAAATGAAATTTTCTTTTAAATTTAAAGTGATTAAATGAGAATATATTTATACAAAATTGAAAGAAGATTTTTAAGGAATTTTTTAAAAAAGCAATCAATATTTACTTGTCTGGGCATAACTGGAATGAAAATATGTACATAATATTAAATAAAAACAATAATTTAAATAGCAGAAAAACAATAAGACAACATTTTGCGATAAGGGGAAGAAAATATTTTTAAAATAGTATCTTGGAATACTAGCAACTTAAATTTCCAAAAATTAAATTTCAATTTAAAAGATAATTTCTTTTGCAGTTCATCCTGATGTAATTCAGAAACATGCCTATGTTGATAATGCTTTCCGTTGCTCCTTGACATAGACCAAGGAATTATCAAATATTATTTAACATTGAATGATTATTATTTTATTTTTGTATTAATCTACTTTTTTTCAGTTTTGCTTTCCAAATTTTTGATTTGTGCTTTCCAGTTAGATATTGTATGACTTAAGTTCGAATTAGGTCCAAGAATTCATCATAGCAACAGAAATAAAGTACCTGTTATTGGCTAAGACCTTGCATCTAATAGGTGACATTATAACATTTGCTGATTTTCAAGGCAATCGATGAAGAAGATGGATCCATGAGTATACTCTCTCACCCTATCTGCAGCCTCTCGAGAACGTTTTAAGCATGATGTCATTTTAAGTGCCCTAATGCCACAAAGACAGTATACATTTAGAAAAATTCATGGATGTCAGCTCAGTGATGTAGTAGCTGGCACAGTTATTGATGTCGTTTTATGAATATCAGAATAGTGGTATAGACAAGTAAAATCTCAATAGCATTTTTTTTCTATTAATATTACTTCCATTTTATGGTAAAGAAAGGGATTTTTTTTTTAGTAACTTATCCTGCTTTTATACCCATATAATATTCTTATATTTATATAATATATGTAAAAATGGTTTCATTAGTAAAGTCTGATGCAGAATAAAATTGTGCAATAACAACAATAATATTTCTTTCATTTTCATCTTTCTTATTCCATGCAGGGTCGTCCCATTGATTATTCTGTGGATTTTCTCCAACCTCAGAAGCATGTATCATTTCATAAGCATTGGATGGTAAATCCATACGATATTTATAATGACTGGCTTCAAGAAAGGTTGAATAAAGAGCAGCATATGGAATTGTAAATGTGACTAGCCTTTTGTCTTAAAACAATTATTTCTCATATTCGTTTTAAAACAAGAAAAATAAACTGCATTATTATTAACAAACTATAGAATTTTATAGTTTGATAATTTTTATTTTTTTCCATTCCATGAGATATAAATTATCAAAATGAGTTCTTTTTATACAAGTCTGAATATCTATAGAGTGTGTGATGGTTAAAAGTCTCTTAGAACACTGGATTGAGATTGGGAGCATTTTAAGATTGAACTTTATTTTTAAATTTAAGCTTATGTTTCTGCTACATTTTTAATATTTTATTTATTATATATAAAGCATTAAATTTTCAGTTTATAGTTATTTATTTTCTCTTTAGCATATATCTTATCCAGGGCAAGCAGTAAACAATTTAGCTGCCCAGTGCAATCTCTACACATCCTATTGTTCTTCTTCCTAATATTTCCTCTAAATTCTAAAAATTTGATCATTTCTAAATTTTGCTGGTTGTACTTTTCTAAGTTCTAAAAATTTTGCCACCTCTAAATTCTGCTGCTTGGTATGAACACATCAGCATTGAAACCGGCCCTGAACATAGTTGCCTACTCTCCTGGTAGGTTACAGAGTTTCCCAGCTTTTAATTTATTTTGACTTTATATCAAGGAAACATTTTACAATAATAATTGAAGTTTAATGAAACTTAAATTGTGTAACTTTCATTTCTCACATCTGATTTTCAACTTTTTTTAAAAAAAATATTAAGCTTTTCATGATGCCATTTAAATTATAAATTATTAAAGTATTCACTAAACAATACACAAAATGTTCACCTCAATGCTGGCCAGACTCTAAGAGGAATAAATAAAACCTCTGAAACAATAGTACATGCATCTCCATATTGCTAAAAATAAAAGTTTTCAGAAGCATTAACAGCATCCATGCGGTTATGTCTGCTGATACAGTTAATAGCCTCTCTGTTTATTTACATTACTAAACCCATGATTTCTGCTTTGATACTGAAACAAAATAAAAATAAAAAATACTGCAATAGAATGAAGGTCAACATTCTCCAGTCTCAATAAATTCTACCATACCAGATATAGGGCTAAATCTAGTGCCTCCCCCAAAAGCTATTAATTAAATGTTTCATCTAAACATTCATATCTGGTGCACCTATCCTAAGAGTCCATTTAATGGTCATTCATATATGACACTGGGCTCTGTAATATAATTGGTGGTCAACGTATATATGACACACCCACACCAAAAGAACAGTATTGACTTCTGTGGAACTTTTTATGGAGATTCAAATAATTTTTAATCGGTTAATAATATTTTCATCATGTTTAAAAGTACGTGATTTAAAAAAAAAAGGCTTTTCTTCCCTATTTAGGATTTTTTTCTGTTTAAAAGTGTAAGAAAATTACAAAATTAAAAATTAAATCATCAAAGAGTATGAAATTTAGAACAGCTGATTAATTATTAATATTTTTATGTAATTAAATATTTATTTAGTATTTCCTATGTATTGTAAGTAGTTTATTAATCCGAGTCATAAAGCTAAGTAAATTATGAGTTCTTTTAACCCTCTGAGCCGCACGAGTTTTTGGATATATCATGAAGACCTGTATTTATGCAGAATTTATTAACTAAATGTATATAATTATTTATTTTAGCCTCTATTTTCATAAACTTACATTCATTAAGATTACATTTACATTATTAAAGAAAGTAAGAAAGCAAATTATCTTAAGTTATAAGCTAATATGTATCAAGTTTATCTCATGACTGGATAAAGCTGGTCATGCTACTCAGGGGTTAAAAGAGTGTCACCTCGCACTACAAGAACCTTCCAGTGTTTCATGGTTGTCAACTTACATTTTCAGACTGTGCTGTAACTTGACTAAATGTCAGCTTATGTATATAATCTTATATATAATTTATACTGTGACCTAAAAAAAGTATTGGATTATAAATTCTTAATATCATTGTATAATGTTTGGCTAATGAATGAATCATCTGTAAATTTCATTAGAAATCTGTATATGTGTGTAATGTATTAATCAAATGTGTGCCAATTGAAAAAAGCATTTCTTAATCTCACATTGCATAAAGAAACTGTTAATTTTTTTTTAATTGTGTCATATGTATTCTATACCAATTTGAGAATAAATGTTTTTAAAATGTTATCCTGAAACTATAGTTTCTCCAGCTAATCATTACTGTTTCTAGTAACCTCTAAAGGGCCACTTCAGTTTGCTTCATTTGGAAAATCTGAACTTCGCATATAACATAGTTAGTCAACACATGGAACCAACATCATTAAAAAGTATGAACAGCCTTTAATTTATATCATATATACAAATGGAAAAGATGCATATCAACGTAAAAGAGGGACCTTTGATTAGTATGCATTTTAAATAGTAGATACTTAAAATTTGCGCTAATCCTTTTTCCTCTCCGATTTTATACGAATGTCACTTTTCTGAGAATAATAAATTTTATGTGAATGAATGCCTTCTACTGAAAATAGAAAGTTCTTAGGAAAAGAGTCTGCAGTTTAACAATTTATTAAAAATATTAAATTATTTTTAACATGTTAAAAGTCACCATTAATTATGATAATTATATTGTGAGTAAAATGAATTATTAAAAAATAAAGTTATTTATCTTTCTTATTAAATTGCTATTTTATGTAAAGAAAAATGCAAATACGAAATCCTGCGTATTTCTAAAATGATAGAGGTGTCTAATTGCACTGGGAAAATTGTCTAAGAAGTCAAACATAATATGCGATTATAAAAGAGGAATAATCAGTCTGATCAGATGCTATAATATTATCCACTTCAAAGAATGATAAGATGGTCAAAAATTGTCATTTATTATTATAATTGTAATATAAACATTTATAAATGATTCACATTATCTTATTAATTAATTAATTTTAACATAAAATTTATCATTTACAGCAGACTTCACTAAAGATATTTCAGTAGTTTTAAAGAAAGTTACATTGGAAAGCCAAGCATTGTGTTATTGCCCATCGTGTAATGTTTATCCACATTTTAAATCAGTAGAAGATTTTTGGATAACGTTTTGATGAGATATAAATGTTACTATTTGCATGTACAAAAATTTATTCCAGAATATAAAACTAATTTTTCTGTATTATAACAATTTTTCTGTTTAATAATTTATAGTGTTGCTTTTTTAAATGCAGTTAAAGTGGAATGTGACTAAATAGGTTATAGGTTAATTAAAACAAATTCAGTACTACGAGGTAGGATTCAAAACTTCCCAAACTGAGTCTATAATGTAAAAAATATTATGTATTAAATTGCAGAAACACATCATCCTTCGAAATAAGACCCTTGTGCAACAACATACTTTTGCCAGCGCCTGTAAAGTTTATCGAAGCATGTCTAGAATCCATTTTTAGCCATGTCCTTTAATTCAGCCTGCAATGCACATTTAAATTCATCTGGAGATTGAAATCGACAACCCTGCAAGTGTCTTGCCAGTTCAGGAAATAGGAAGAAATCTCAGGGTGCAAGATCACATGAGTAAAGAGGATGAGGCAAAATAATTTTTGTTTTCACAAGAAAATCGTTGATAAGTAGGGATCGGTGGGCAGGAGCATTGTCATGCAACAGCACCCATGACTGCTCAGCCCACATTTTTGGTCTCTTCTTCTAGATTGCCTCACACAAATGACGCAGGATTTCAATGTAGATAGCTTTGTTCACAGTTTATCTTTCAGGGATAAATTCCAGATACATAATGCCCTGGATATTGAAGAATACTTCTCGCCTGACCTTTTCTTTAGAGCGATCTCGGTGGAATTTCTGCTGTAGATTGTGGTGATTTCAACGTTGCAGATCCTCTCTTGGTTTGTGGGTCGTACAAAAAACACCATTTCTTGTCTCTAGTAACAATTGTGCCAAGTAGAGAAGTATCTTTGTCAACAGCCGAAATTAAGTCTCCTGCCATTTCCATTCGAATTCCCTTTTGGTCTACGTTTAACATGCGAGGAACAATGCATTGACAAATCTTATGCATGTTAAGATCCTTGGTCAGTATCCGCTGATATGTGACCTCTGATATCCCAACTAAGTCTCCTACTTGGCAAATTGTTTGCTGCCTGTTTGCACATACTGCCACAGACAACTTTTTGATGTTTTCATTGGTGTGTGAAGTCACGGGAGGGCCACAGTGTTCGTTGTCTTTGGCACTTTCCCTGCCTTCTCTGAAACAACGATGCCACTCAAAAGCTTGTTTTCAATAACGTTTCATTTCCATACACATGCTTTAACATTTCGAAAGTCTTCGTAGCACTCTTTCCCAAGCGAAAACAAAATTTGATATTGATTCTCTGCTCAACTGATGCCATTTCTTTCTGTTGCCTATTACTAAGTGCACCTGCCTAAAAAAAAAGGTTGCTGCGAGCTTTCAACCACATGTGGGACAAACCACTTTTAGAAAAGGGGGAGAATGTAGTAACATAAAAGCATTCATTGTAGTTGCACTACTGCAAAAACATTTTTACGTTATAGATTTAGTCTGGGAAATTTTAAATCCTACAATGTACATTAAATAAATAGTATTAATAATTATTCTTGGATATTATATGTTGAATCTGATAGAATTTTAATTAGAGCCTTTATTTTTGCTGATTTCTTTGGAAATAGATAAATTGTTTGCTTGCCAATAAATAACTTTGTTAATAAGTTGTTTTGCTTTCCAAGAAATATGAATTGTAGCAGCCCTACTAGGAAAATCGCGTGATATATTAAAAGACAGAGTAATAATAATAAAAAGTTTGATAGTGATATTTCTGGTAAATATGAAAAATAAAGGCATAAAGTTTTGATGTAAATGAAAAGTGTAATGAACACTGTGATCACAAAAAAATTCAAGACTTTTCAAATATCCCTAATATATGTAGGCTTGCGTACTTCATTTTTCAAAAGATGCGATTTCCATATGATTTTGCTTATGCCCCGAGTCTCAGTCATGTAAAAGTTATACATGCCAAATCTAAATAAGATTGGATAATATTTAGGGGTTGCACACATTGATTACTTTTATCACAAAACGCTTTTCCTTATGCTGGGTAAGGGGGCATTGAAAGGAAATGAAAAAGCCGATTCGTTGGCAAAGAAAGCCACAGTACACACTTCCATCGATACTGAGGTTCCTTACTCATTAGAAGTCACTAAATTCAAGATCTTCAATGCCTTCAAAATCCTTTAGCAGGAATGGTGGGATTTTTCGGATACTGGCAGGCACACTTACATTTTTCCAATAATATCTATGAAATGGCTTAAGACTGACTGCTACTTGCAGCAGGCTTTTACTGACCACAAGCAATTCTCTTCATACCTCGAAACGTTCTTCCACCAAAATGTCAGCTGTGCATGAGCCATGCAAGCCTCTTCAGCAGACGCTTGCTACTGTGTGAAAGTCTACAGTAGCAAGCGTCTGCTGAAGAGGAACATGGCAAAAACCCCCTCTTTTATTTCATCAATGCTTCCCACTCTCAGCTATGGAGTGTCTTGAGCCTCGAGAGATCTTTTTTTTTTTTTTTTTTCCCATCAAATGGTGTACCACTTGCTTTTTTTTGGCATTGGCCATGCCTAAGGCCAGAAGTTGTGGCCATTTTATTGTGAAGGCACCTAATAGGCGGCCACCATTACCTCCTACAAGGGGACAGACAATTTACATCCATGCCTTCTCTGGAATTTGATCCCGGGGCCTTTGGCATTGCAGTCAGCTTCCCCAATCACAATACTGTCTGGGCAGCTCGGAGATCTTATCGACTACTATGGGCAATGAAGAGTAAGAGCCATCAGAGCTCACATCTAAAAACCTCATAAAAGCATATAACCATGTATAATACCTGAAAATGTAAAGGCAGCAAGACTATATCTTTGCACATATATAAATACTCACTTAATAACTAATTTTTGCAAATCTACTACTAACCATACTAAAAAAGATTGTAAATTAGATAAACAAATAAATATCATCATGTAATGTATTAATGTTTAAATAAAACAGGGTTGAAAAGATACACAACCTAAGGTTGCTGGTACAATGACTAGGATGACATGACTGTAGTGCCCATTTCAGAGGTGAAGCAGGAGGAATAATAATAATTATTATCTTCAACTAGTGAAGTATTATCTGTACGTCTTTTCATCCTGCAGCATCTAATACAGAACTGATCCAAAGGGCATGTATCAGAATTGAAAGGGAATTCAAATGAACATTGTTGTGGTTGGCTTGCCATCATCACATCCATGAATTAATATCAAAAGTAGTATTGTGTCTTACTATCAAGTGGTCTTGACATCTATAAAGTCTTTGGTCTTCACTTGATAAGAAGTCATATGGGACAATGCTGAAAGAAGAAGTCTGTGGTATCACTGAGTGCCTTAAAATTGTGAACGATTTTAAGGCAGTCAGTGATATCACAGAAAGAGAAATTGCTCTGGAAAACAAGTTTAATGAATCGGTCACGGATGAACAACAAAAACAATTTTTGAAGGTAGTTGAGCATTACAGAAAAGTTTTCACCAAACGAAGAAAAGAAGGGATTGCATTGTTCAAAGTTGATTAATATTGCACATGTTTTGCCTGCCAAACACTTTTGTTTTTTTCAACAAGTTTTATGGATCATCGTGGATGTTATTTTTGTGTTACCTCCATTAATCAGGAACCAGCTGTAATTAAAGCGACTTCATTTTCCGCATTCACATGCCACCATGCACTGTCTAACAGAAACTGTTGTTTTTGCCATGTTCCTCACTCCTTTAAAGTTGTGACTGTCAAATGTTCTACATCCTGTACATGTATGTCCCATTAAAAAAGAACACTAGAACAAATTTGTCTACTCTACCTGCAACATTATCTCTAAATTTAAGATACTCTCTGATTTTCACACCTGCAGAAACAATTGGGAACTCTTGGTGATTCTGCATATTAGTAAAAGATCCATTTAGCTATTTAAGTGCCATTCTTTTTTTGTAAACAGTAATAAGCATTTTATAAGGGACAAGAACTGCACCACTGGCCGAGCAGTTCACACACAGCCATCTACAAGAATACGTGTAGTTGATCATCTTACCTAAATCACCACGTACAAATCTTGATAAAGCAAATGCATGCAATTAGGTGTTTGGCATAC